TTCCAAACAAGGTAAAATATAAACTGAATAAATGTCTTAAAATGAGTGTGTTTTGTTAAATTCCTAGTTTCAGGCTAGTCTGAATTTTGTGTCTATTCAAATAATGGTTACAGGTTTTCCAGATAAAATTTGATACATTTCTAATCTTTGGTAGTGCTAGTGTTAGATAGATGAATGGGAGAGAGATGTGTCCCCTGTTTTGGCGCCTGGAAAAAAGCTGCAGTGTTTCATGTGGTTAAAGCCCGTTCGCAAATGGATTATAGGCTTTATTCGTGGTATTTTAGTCTTGGGTTACGGTGATCTATCCTTGGTATCAATCTGTTTATTAATTAGTGCAAGTGCATTTCCTTGTTGCTGATCAGTTGCACGCGAAATTCTACCAACCTGTGAATCAATGAACACGTAATATGTATATTTCAATTAATTTCATTGAAATACATTGTTATGAGTTCTATTGTGAGAGAGTGGTTTCGATGAGCGCGAGAGGTTGTCTATCATGAGAAGCACTTAGCATCACGGACGAATTTCCGATTCTTTATTGTGGTCCCATCAATGTCGCCAGCAGTTCATGATTATCACCTTAAACTAGATGAGAGCTTCACACATTGCGTTAAAGAAGGAATTTCATGTGAGTAGCCTCTGCACCAGGAGCCAAGGCATAAAGCTAGCTGCAGTGCATGGACTCACTGACGAAAATAAATACAACTACCATATTTGGCTGGTCTTTCTACAGTTCCCTGGAATATTTTCAAGAAAATCCTTGACGTGAGGTCATTTCCATCACATGCATCCATAATCAACATTTCCACTAACTAAACCATATGCCAAAACACTGTTTTTAGATTTTTTTCCCATCGTCGAGTTTTCATTTACTTTTAAAATAGGCTTTTTGTGCGGATGAAGGGACAGTCTGGATGCTGCTATGTGCATCTGAGCTAGTCAATAAACAAATAGATGCCACAATTGAAACATCGTGAACCAATATTTGATAATCATGATAAAAATGAAAAAGGTTTGAATTAATACTAAAGGTGCATTACTAATGGCTAAAATGCCCTAAAGGCTGAAANAAACATGAGCAAGATGTACATCACCACGGGAAGCACAATAAATCTAATAGGGAATTCTACTGAACGGTAAACATGCATTATCTAGCCCAAGTTAACTTTACTTGAGTATGTGAATGCCAACGCTAACCACAAGTTTATTTTATTATTATTTGGGAACCCAAGCAGTCTTTCAATCTGGGTGAATAAAAATTTGTGTTCAACAACAGTTCTTCAACCAGAGGCTCTTTGGCAGGCCCAATCAAGATTACGCAATTATTTAAGAGAGGGTTGGAACCTTGCATTCAGTTTTGCATCAGTTCGTCTGTATGAATATCATCCGACACAGATATGTTCCCTCAGATGAACCACAATCATACTGCTCCGACTGTGGGCAGTAAATATGAGCAGCTTGTTGGAATGTTTTGCATCAGTGTTTTCCAAAAACGTTTACTGCGGTTTGGAATCGCTTGGCAAATATTTGGCTACGGTAAATCAACTTCGGAATTTGTTTATTTCTTGATGGGGAGAAAGTTTCTTATCCCATTGAAGTGACGATGGTCATTATTCATACAAGCGGCAAAAACACACATCAAAACAAAGACTGTACATTTAATTGTGACCTCCTCGGTTGGAAGATTTGGGCAGATCATGTGGCCAAACACGTGGAAAGTCAGTTTCAATCCGGTTTATGATGACGTCATTTCTGACTATTTCTAATCCATCTAGCCCACTCGTTGTGCCAGGAACCTAAGTTTGTACAGGGTAAACATCTTGAATTACAATCCGCTTATTTCGGCTCAGCTCAATACCGAACTTTACATGTACAACAAATTTCAAATGTCAACACTTGAAGAAGAACAGATGGTAGTTTGCTGCGAATTGGATGATTCGTACGAAATGCAGATCAATAGCGGGCCAGTTTCACGAATCTATTTACGTGGCCTGCAACCGGATTTCGAAATGTATAGTGGCGAAGGAAAATAACACCACAGTGCTTCCATAGGTATTCGTTTTTGCGAACTCCTTCACAAGAACATTTCTCTATATTTCAGTGAACATATGAAAGTATGGATAAATAATTTGGATTTGGGAGAGGCAATGTTAACAATAGCAATCTATGTTTGCTTGCGTGAAATATGTATCTTTGTATGTGTGTGTGTGAGTGAGTGATANAGTGATAGGCTTGCCCGTAGTTTGACAAAAATCTACAACCCGACTCAAAGGTCTGTATCATTCAAACCAGTATGAGGGAGGGGGGTCGATAAGTTAACAAATCCACGTATAGAAAAGAAATGTGTTAGGTCGGTATACGCATGACCATAAAAAGTTACATGAATAAAGATAAACTGGATCCTGTTTTCGAGTCCAGCCAAAATCAAGTCTGATCTGCACAGTCCTAGCTATGAATACCGGACTGATTAGAATTGTATATGTATCCACATGCATATCAAAAATAGGGTGCGGCTGTTGGGAAATCAAAACATACCTGTCTGTTGAAAAGGAAAAGTAGATAGTCCAGATAATCCATGAATGACATAATAAGGAGTCTATTTGTCAAATGGAACATCACTTGAGCAAAGAAAGTTTTGTGATAACAATGCAGGTAATGGGACACCAGGCGTTCATCGTCTTCCTCGACCAGTTTTATGTGCATAGAATTTGTTGAAGTTTTCCGTGATGATGGGCACTGGGATGGCCAGAGTCAATACACCAGCCACTGCGCAAACACTGCCCACAATTTTCCCCAACGGACCTTTTGGCACTTTGTCGCCGTAGCCCACTGTGCACATGGTGATCACAGCCCACCAGAATGCATCTGGAATGCTTTCGATTTGCGAACCTTTTCGGTCGATTTCCACATAGTACAAGGTGCTGGAGAACACGAGTATGCACACAATAAACGCAACCAGGAACAGGCTCAAACCTTCGATGCTCTCTTTGAATGTCAACACAAGAATCTGTAGACCGGACGAATGTTTGGTGAGTTTGAACACTCGGATCAGACGTATCACACGCAAAAATGCCAGGCTTGCACTACTCTTTGCACCCTCACAACTGAATGTAATGAGTACATTGACCAAGGTGATATAATACGGCACAATTGCGGCCAAATCAATTAGATTTTTGAAGTCTTTTATAAAGGCTTTGTGACTGGGACAACTGCTGAATCGGATGATAAGTTCGAACGTGAACCAAATAGTGCATATGGTTTCGATTATAAAAAATGGATCCCGAAAATTCGGTTTTGCCCCGGGTTCACAGTGCGTTTGTGCGTACACAGGTAGCGTTTCCACACAGAACAGGATGATTGAGATTATGGTGAAAATCACAGAAGTCACGGAGAAACAGAACGCCAGGGGGCTGGTTTCAGGGTATTCAAACAAAAGCCACAATTTCCGTTTAAACTGATTTTCCGGGAGAATAATCACCTCTGGAACATAACCTTCGTGTTTTTTATAACTTTCAAGTGCATCTTCTTCTATCTGGAAAAATTCCAGTTCCCGGAGAAACACATCATCAGCCACCACAGCCGGACGCTTCAGTCTACCACCATACTGATAATAGTTAAAAATGGCTTCAAAACTCGGTCGATGTCGATCGAAAAAATACTCTTTCCGCTTTGAATCGTAGAATTGCATTCGTTTCTCGGCATCTCCCAATAAAGTGGTTGGGTGGTTATTCAGTACTGCCAACCATGTCTCGAATTTGAGACCACTCACATTGAGCACTACACGCTGGCATTCCTGGCAAGCATCTTCACTATCATTCAAACTGCTTATCAGCTCGGAGTTCTGATTGAGGCTTATTGTGCTACCATCGATTCGGTTTGGTTCTCCAGAAAGTAATAATGGTAAATCGGTGATACGGCTATTCAAACCACAGGCACGACGAATTCGGGAACCCTGTTTAGCACGCCAAGCACTCAAACTCTTAAGTCTTGTCCGTCTGATAGGATCTGCTCCGCTGTTGGTTTGTTTGCCTGTCGGGGCTATAGTTTGACGGCGCTTTTGTAGCACTTTGGTTTGGGTGTTATCCGCGCTTGTTCGTTGTCCCTTTCTCTCCACGAGTACCTGAACCCGTTCACTGTAGATACTTTGATTTCTCGTACTGATGAACGGCATAAGTGACCCGATCAAAGGTTTGTCCATTATGGACAGAAGATTTGTGTCATGCTCCAATTTGGGGATGATTTCATCAGATTGATGGGTAGATAGAGTTCTTGTGCTCCCGCCAGCAGTCCGTGTATTACCCGCAAATTGTATTTTTAATTTTGAACTGATATTTGGAAAATACAATAAACGGTTGGTGAGGTTGTGTAACTGATCACACGCGTCTATTTGTGCTTCCGGATCCAAGGCAGGCATACCTGACTTGGAATTTTCGTCAGCTACTTCTGCTTGTATATTTCTTGTCCCCGACCAGCAGGGTTCTTGAGAGCTTTGTTGAGTTTTAGGAACGGGAATCGAATCATGAATGTCGGTTTGCCCCGGTTCAAATGCCAGATTCAAACAGGGTGTGGAGCGTATGTTGGACGATTGCGGTCTGTCTTGATCGGACCATTCGACTGGTGACCAACTGCGTCTGGTAACGGTATTTTCCCTGCTATGGAACTGAACTAAATCAGAATCATCGGCAATATCTACGTAGTTTTGATCTAATGGATATGTTCCCGGTAATGACATTTGTTTCTCCATCCGGTTCCAATGCCTGAGGCTATCGATCGGTGGTGCGATTTCACTGTTCACGGTCAGCTGAGGCACAACTGTTTTTGGCCTCTCTTGAAGACCAGGTTTAACTCGTTGCTGATGTCTGTGATGTCGATGCGCCGGGTGTCGATAAAACGGATGTCTGATATCGCTTGGGACAGGTTTTAAACTGGCTGAACCGACAGCCGACTCAGACGTGTTTAAACAGGAGCACATCTGCCGATGAAGTTCCGAGCTGGATGCAGCTAGCATGTTGCACGACGTGGTCTCACTAACACTCTCTTTGATTGGCTTCATCAAAGATGGCATGTAGATCATCGTGGGCATGAACCGGGTGAAACACAAACAGAATTCCAAACGAGAGAACAAATTAATCGGTTGATTCCAGGAGGCACAAATATCTAGCATAAAACGGTAGTGATCAGAATAGGTGAGCACGATAAAACATAATGACCACTGAATGCACGTGTAGTTTTTATCAACTGTGTCGGACGTTTTGTTGCTCCCACATTGTTCCATGCGTAAAACCTAAAGTGTGAGAAGCATAATTACTGCACACAATCTATTCCCGTCCGTTTGCAAGCATAAAATGATTAAACTACAGTATTGCTTGTAACACAGTCACATAAAAGAGGATTGGTTCCCCGTTCGGGGCTTATAACAATGCGTATATCNATTCGGTGAACCAGTCAGACCTCATTCCTCAGAATGGAATTGGACCAATCAGAAGGCGGCACAATGATTTCGTTTGACCAACGGGATTAGTGAAGAGCAATCGTAGCAGGTGATGTCGGATAAACAATTCCTATGAATCATCCAAATTCTTAGGTAAATGTTTATTTTTGCGCTCATCCAGATGCATGATCCGAAAACTGGACAGCGAAAACAAGAAGTGGGGTTCCGTTCGGGTGCGTTAATCCCCGTGTTTGTGCGTTTCTGTGAGTGTGCGCCTGTGACGAGTCACTGCGTTTGGAAATTGTATTAGCGAAAGTAAAACAATCCATACCATACATTGATTTAGGTATGACAGGATACTTACCCTCGGGAACTCATAATCACAGTAACTTGGACGCTCAAAAAACTGACAAGCATAGCATACAGGTAGACCGCACGAGAAAGAAACGGTTCTCCAGGGCTCTTTGATAACCGTGACACAAATCCGTTTCCCTACGTTTAATATAACCTCATATCAGTTGTTGAATCCTTCCAACAATCAACGCACCACGAGGTAGTAACCTTATAATCAGGTTAATAATGCCTCCGTCAAAATGCATCGTATATTCTCTAACGGGTTGAATTACTGATGTCGACTGAGAACCATTTCTAGTATTGTTTTGAATGATTAACGAATTTATTGCCAGCAGTTTTCGATACTTTTAATTAAAGAATTCTGAAAATTGATAACTACATCAAAGCGTACCAAACGTGGAATAGTTACGAGTATTCTCCAGAGAATGATGTGCCACAGAGCGTGTTTTTTGTGCAATCAATGGTATGAGGTGGGTTGAAAGTTGGATGCACTGACGCGCGTAGTAAATCACGCACTTTATCATCTGGCTCCTGATTACAGACCAAACCAGGTAAAACCACCAACAATTATTACGCATTTGCAATAAATATTCCATGCTTACAGTCGTAGTATATTGGGTTGGACTGAAAGAATTAGTGCAACTGTATACGATTATATTTGGTTGATCTTTGTTCTAATGAACTCACTCAGTAGCCGGGTAATGGAATACTTACTTTGCTGAATAATGCAATATGCCAGTTGTCCTACTATTTATTTGCTCACAGTTTGAACTCACCTGTTTCGAAGAGCTATTTTTTAGAAGAAAAATATACCCTATTCAACATTTTACTCACTTAGCCAGTCAAATCAGATTTAGGTAACTCTCAAGAATCTTTCATCCGGTAATATTGCTCTTCTTTAACTCTCTCGGGTTGCATCCCCTCTCTTTCGTTCTCATCTGTGGACATTTTAAGGGGTGATACAATAGACACCGCTTTTGACTTAGGACATCTCCGATGCTTTCTCCATTAAAGTCTTTGAGATGATTGTCGTTTATAAACGAAATACTTTTGCAGTAAACTGTATGTTCACATGATCAAGTAATTTATATAGTGCCTCAGTTGATCGTTTACCTGACCGTTACTGAAAACAGGATGGAAAGTTGATTAGGCACGACATTCGCTTCATCTGTGAGCAGCGGCAAAGTGCTGTGCTTCAAGAGGTTGATAATAAGTGTTTTAATTCCTCATTATGTTACTCATCGTCTAACATACTTTCCTCTTTCACCTAATTTAACTGCCCTCGGAAGTTCATTGGTACAGAAGAACTTTGGTCTTTATAGTCAACATCCTGAAATTCTCAAGTGTGCGGCAGGTTCACAAAGGGAAACCGTGTGTGCTCTCATTCATAAATCTATTACCTATTTTGTACCTAATTAATAGAGACTTCCCACTGTGCTTCTTATCCATATTATTTTGTTTAACCATTTGCTTCCCGTTCGTATCGATTCGGTGGAGATAAAATTTACCAGAAGTATCACTCTTTGTCATACTGTTTCTCGTTTGACTGTTCTCCATAATCATCCACAATTCTCATACACTATCTTCGTTCGTTAACCTCATCATCGAATCTCCGGAGTGTTCTGATAAATTCTTCGTAATTGCTACTCTCTGTTCCGCTCGGCCCCTCCGGTACCTCTTATCTATAAATGAGAAGCCACTGCATATTTCCATCGTGATATTAAGAAAAACGGCAGTGAGAAAGCTTGCTTTCAATAACTTCTGTCTCGCACTAATGCAGTCATATAGACAGTTTAAAATAGTCCAATTAATGTAATGGAAAAATGTAATGGATATGATTGATTGTTTGTGACTTTGCAATGTGCGGTTTGAAAATAGTGGAAGCCCGTTTTTTATTGCGTGGTGTAGAAATTTTCACAGTTGATTAAATGAGCTGTTCCGTCCCTAGGCCATGTCGATTATTACGATTGCCTCTGTTGACTGTAACCGAATTGAATCAATGAACCCGATTGTAGAAAAAGGGGGGATTGAGTAAGCGAAGGCCACCACCTCGTTTGTAGCTAGGTATTGTCCACAAACAACATTTGATGGTTTTGCTGGTAACTTGCAAGTCATTTTGTGCGCGACCTTGTTTTCCTGATGACTGATGTCTGCAAGGTATTCCATCAATGTAATCAATTTCATTACTCCTACACTTAACCAGGTCGACTTGTGCCTCTTGATTTGTTGCGACAAGTTTTTGATCGTTCTTCCTGCCTTACTTACTGAACATACGAAACGAAAGTGGTAAATGATTAACGATGAGGATTTACAGAAACGATCCGTTGGTTTATGGATTGTACACAGTATTGCAGTAGGACAAGTACAAACGGTGACCTTTTATAATCAATGTATTAGTAAATCACCCTCATAATTTCCATTAAAAAGAAGTTGTATGAGTAGATTTTTCACTGTTATCAATGGTGTTCTGTTAGACAGTTTTCTCAGATTGATCCGAATAAATAGCTCCGGATAAGCTGTGACAACACTTTGACATCACAGTCAACCAGTCATANCACATTAGACTACTCCACCAGTTGGACAATTTTTAACTCTATACATAACTGTATCAGCCCGAAGAAGGAGTTATGCAAAACATGCGTGATTATTTTATTTGCTTGAAGTCCACACTTTCGTGCTTAAACGGTTATTCTACTAGAAGCATTCAGCCATCTAGCACGGGTGCGAAATCGTCTCATGCCTTGGTACGCAACGTTAACGTATTTCAGAGTGTTCTCACATCACCCTTTTTTCGCTCCCTACATCAGTTATTCGCCAGATTGTTCCACTAACAGAGTGATTAAACGTGCGAATGAATACTTACTACTCCAAGCTGTTCCAGATCGGTCTGAACAGAACAAATATGAACTACACACAGACTTCAACCCATTCATGGTACGTATACATAGGGTTATGGTTGCAAATCCCCAGTTATATTAAATTTCCGCTGCGCGATCTTTTCTTTTAGGGATATGAATTTGGAGAGACCAATTCGAATGACAAAAGCTGAAGGTTGAATTTTGGTGTTTAAATTGTGAACAAACCAAGCACTATTATTTAAACTATTACATGAAACTGGCACAACAGGAAACAAAGGATAGCAGTGGTGTAATCGTGTTTCTGTTTGTGGGTGTGTCCCGCCCCATAATTCATATTGGGTCACGAATAACGAAGCCCGGGGAATAAATTTATTTTTGGTGACACCCCTGGACGAAGTGAACCGTCAGTGTTCGAACACGGCCGATCGGGATTCGATGCACTGCCGTCCTGTGGTAGAGGAGAGTTTGCACCAATTTGCTGCAAACGGTGCAAATCTTCTTACCGCCCGGAGTAGTGCTATATTACACTTTCATCTAAGTCACTCAGAATGCGACCTCTGTAATGTGTGCGTTGGAAGCACTTGAATGAGTCTATTTCCTATGAGAAGGATATTGTTAGCAGACCATATTTCATTTGTATTCATACCATCCTTATTGTAGAGGAGACCATTCTGGTTTTCGGTGCTTCGAATGACGAATTCACAAAGGTTTTCTGCATCTATGCCAGCCTTACGTTAGTCGAATCGCTCATAGAGGAGGTTTTGAAGAAGCTATTTTTTAGAGACACGAGTGAATTATTGTTTTTAGAACAAAATGAATACCTCTGCCCCAAACCTTTCACAACAAAAATGAATATATTTGAAGTCTGTCGATCCAATTTCCTAAGCTCCCCAAGCTAAACGAATCGCTCAGGTTCGCTTGTGCTTTAAAAGAACAAAATGTGTGGAAATTGTATGATTGATCATTTCGTTTTTCATATGAGTCCTTCTGCTTTTGACGATCTCAAGAAAATATGTTAGGAGGTTGACTTGTACCTGAAAGGCTCATTTCAAGGAAGTTGACACTCAGTTAACCGTTTATAAGCTCAATTTCATAATGCACGATCTTTTCGCGAGGTCTTACGGCACATGTTGAGCGGGAATTCGTTAATATGAAGATCTTTGACATATATTACCTTTTTCTAAAAGCTTTTTGTGATTCAGCTGTTTTGCCTCAAATGAGGATTGATCAATGTCCGCAGTACATGCCGTTGTAGTGATGGATGTGCGCGATATTTTATCGTGCTGATCTTTGGTAAGCTGCAATGATCCGGCTCGGAAAGCTTCTTGTTTTAGCGTGTCAGACGAACAAAACGTCATCAGAGTATTTGAATCTGAATGGAATCGTACCCGCTGATGGTTCTAAAGATGTACCAAACAATTTGTCAGTACTTCTATTACTATATATTGCTGGATGCTATTCAATCTACACAATAAGTAAGCCATCATTTGTCTGGTGATAAAACATGATCCTCGACGCAAA